GGGTTTGAGTGAGATGGCCGGACATGCCCTGGAGCCCTCCCACAGTCCCTCCCTGGGCTGGCCAACCTCTCACATCCCTCCTCAGTTCCATCATGCACTTCTGGGGTCCCTCAGCCTGGCCTGCACCCTCTTGCAATCCAGGACCCCTCGAGGGATTTTGGAGAACCTGTTTTGACTTGATCCTGCAGGCCAGGCAAGGGACCCCAATGGTACATGAATTTCTGCATCCAGCCTCAGTTTATATATATTATTTCACTTAATTTTCTTAAGAATCTAATGAAGTATTATTAATTCCATTATAAAAATGGAAATTGTAGCTCAAAAAGGTTTTGTTGTAATTAAATAAAAAAGATTGCCTATTATGCTGCCAAACTCTGTTCTGGGCACAGAATAGTAACAGTTAGGTGCCTGCTTTCATGGAGCTTTTATGGATGAGGCGCAGACAGAAAAAATAAAGCAAGTGAATAAATGAATCAGATAATTTTGGATTTAATAAAGTGGTGAGAAAATTAGTGATATAATTTACGTAAAATAATAAAAGCGTAATATGCTAATTAGACCGGATGCAGCTGAGGGATGGAGGCAGCTGTTGGGGCTGCAAAAGTCTACTCTTGGGCGAATTTCATGCATTGGGCCACGAGTATTATAATAAATAGGATACAGCAATGGAGGAAGGTGAGTGAGAGTGTAGAAGCTATATTAGTGTTCTCAGGGGAGGACCCTCTGAGGCAGGACAAGTGAACTGAGAACTTTAGGAGGGGAAAGGTGGAAGTTTTCCAGGCCAAGGAAAAGGATAAGAGCGCAGAGGCCGGGGGCAGTACTAGTTGGGATACTGAATCCACGTTAAGGTTGGTGCAACTGCATGAAGCTTAGTGAGCAAGGGGAGGTTGGAGAGGACACCAAATCAGGGGAAGGAGTTACACAACGGGGAGAAGTCGATCCGATTCAATGGACTAAGGCACCTAAGCGGCAGAGGCCAGGCTGTCCGGCTTTTCCACGAGTTTCCATTCCGCGAAGCTGCGGATACATGACAAGGGGGGTGAAGCAACCCATCAGGAAAGGTTCCAGATCCTGGGCCAAAGGGCAGAGGCCCGTGGGGGGTTGGGGGTGCAGAATGGGACCTCATGGTGTCGCAGGCGTAAAGGCAGCACCGCCCTCGCGCCTAGTCGTTCCTGGCAGGGGTCCCGTACGTAGCTCTTGCCACGGCGCCCCCATCACCCCGCCTTTAATTCTAGCAGGCGCCCCCTGCCCGGCCTGGCTTGGTTTTTCCGACCGCGGCGGCGAGTTCGTCTTCCAAAGCTTCGGAAATGACAGTCCCCCCCTCCCCCCCCCTAAGAGTGACACGGAGATGGACTGATGGATGGCTAGGAAGAGCGCCCATGGTAAACGGGCCGTTTCCTTTCTGTCTTGTTTTATCTCACGGCTTTGCAGAAACCCCTCGCTTTCCGGTTTGCTCTCCCAAGTCACCCCCCTCCAACAGCAAGACTCTTGGTTTGGCCTCTGAGCCCGGATTGGCTGGGGGTTTACGCCTTAGCTCGCGATTGGAGGATGTTGGTTCCTTCCGTAGTCCTCGCTTCCCATAGGCTCGTTCGCCCGGTTTCTGGGCGGGGTGGCTGGGAACGGTTTCCACCCTCTTGTTTACGAAGCGCTCCGTTGTGGCGCTGTCAGCGCGCCGGGGCTGTCCCCAAAGTTCCCTAATGTAGCTCCTCCGACCAATTGGGTCCTGGCTCCGCCCTCGCCGTCTCCCGCACACACTTCCCGCGTGGTACGGCCCTCACCTGTGGAGCGGCGCGAGCGCACGCCCGCCGCCTCCCTCCGCCCTCGCTCGCCGGGCGGCTCCCCCTCGCGGGAGCTCTTGGTACGGCCCGCGCCGCCTCCTTCCCTCGCCGGGGTGGCTTCTTCCCTCCACCCCCCCCCCTTCTCGGGTCGGCGGCGGCTCTTGGTGCCGCCCTGGAGAACCAGGTCATCGGCCGGTTCCCGTGAAAACAAAAACAATCGGCGGGTAGCCGAACGCGGCGCGCGGGGAAGGACTAGAGGCGCGGGGCCGGGTGGGGCCGCCAGCCGGCGCGATTGCGACGCGCCAGAGGCCGCGCGCCATGGGGCAGCCGGGCACGGGCTCCGCGGGGCTCCCCCGGCGCCGGGGCTAGCCGTAGCGCGCCCGTCGCCTCAGCCTCCCGCGCCGCCCGCCCGCCCGCCCGCCTGGGGGACCAGGAGGAGGACGCGGCCTCGGCCGGGCCCGGGCCGAACGGCTGCGGACGCCCGGGCGCCGGGGAGCCGAGCGCCGCCGCCGCCGCCGCCGCGGAGATGGATCAGTGCGTGACGGTGGAGCGCGAGCTGGAGAAGGTGCTGCACAAGTTCTCGGGCTACGGGCAGCTGTGCGAGCGCGGCCTGGAGGAGCTCATCGACTACACGGGCGGCCTCAAGCACGAGATCCTGCAGAGCCACGGTAGGGCGGCCCGGCTGGGCGCGCGGGGCCCGGCCCACCGCCCGCGCCCCCGTCCCCCTCTCCCTCCCTCCCCAGGCCCGGGCGGGTCGGAAGGGGCGCCCCCGGAGTTCGTTCCCCGCCTCCCCGAGGTGTGAGGCCCTCAGCCCCCCTGTGACTTTTCCTCCAACCCGCCCGACCTCGTTGTTAATTGAGAGCGAGCGCGAACCCGTGCAGAAGGAAGCCTGTCCCGGAGCCTCGTGCCTCAGCCATGTCAGCCGCGCGTGGGGTGGGCCGCCGCACCTGCAAACTGCTGCCTCCCCGCCCCGCGGGGACCCACGGGTGTTGGTCACTTTTTCTTCCCCTGCTCCACATCCTTGGCTGGGGACTCACTTTCTTCTTCTTCTTTCTTTCTTTTTTAAATGAGAAAGTCGAGTGGGTTACACAGTGGCTCCTGCAAACTTCACGACTGGACTGATGGGGAAGCAGCTCCTCGCGCTGACAGGATCCGATAGAATGAGCTGCATTACACCGGGCGGCCCTCCTAGGGTGGCCAGGGCTGAGATCGGGGAAGAGCAGGCAGATAGTTCTCCCTGAAGCAAATTGTGGGAGAAGTGTTTCGTTATTTGCCTTAATCGAGTTTTTTACTTTTCTTTTTTTAGCAAACTCATTTTCTATAGAAGGTGTTTTATCTGGGTTATTTCAGTATTGTCCTAGGCCCTGGAGGGCGGACACTTTGTCAAAGTTAACTTGTAGCTGGTTGAGAAGGTTTTTTTTCTTTTCTTTCTTCCTTTCTTTCTTTTCTTTTTCTTTTTTTAAATAATATTAAAGATCTGTTTATGCTTCCACTAGAATAGTCAAAGTGATGATTCCTTCTAATCAAGATGTCTCGGACCTTATTTAATAGGCTTATTCAGGATGCTGGGATAAATAGTAGGCCGGACAGAAGTTTATGTAAAGGAAGGTATGGTGCGAAGTGCAGGTACTTGTGGCCGCTGAGATGAGGGCAGTGGTGCTCTCTCCTCTTCTCTTCCTTCTCTCCTTCATTATAATACACCTTCCTTTCCCGGGTGGCTTTCAGATGAGAGTAAGTGCTAGTCCCTGGGTAGGGAGTCTTAGCAACATCTCATTCTGGACTCCGCATCACTTTTCAGCCCCTGGGAAGAAGCAACCTGCCACCATATGGGGTAGGAGTTGAAATGTTCCTATGGAACAAGGAGCAGACCTAGATGACTGCCTGTGAAAGGGATGGAGGTGGATTAGGCTGGGAATCCTGGGAGGGTCTGCAGAGTTCGGTTTTGGTCATGAGAAATAAAGCAAAAGCAAAGAAGGGCTCAAAAAGATCGGGTCCAGGGCTTAATGTTTACTGGTGGCTGAGGATGTATATAGATGGTGTTGGTCTGGAAAAGAACTATCATTTTTTTAGCTTATTTGCCACAAGTTCAAGGATTGTACTGAGCCCTAATTCTTTAATCATTTTATTAAACTTTAGGTTATCTTAACTTCCCCAGCTCTGAGAGAAGAGGAGAGCACTCTTGCCCTTTAGTTGTACCAGCCTTTTAATGCGAGTTCTCCTGTAAGTAAAGTTTGGTCTAATTTAAGATTCCGTAGGTGCTGTTTGATCTTTCTTACTGTGCTTTTGATCTAATTTGGATAATGCACTGATGCTTTTCAAACTTCACTTACACATATGCACTCTTTGTTTTTAAATATATTTTATTGATTTTATACAGAGAGGAAGGGAGAGAGATAGAGAGTTAGAAACATCGATGAGAGAGAGTCATCAATCAGCTGCCTCTTGCACACCCCCCACTGGGGATGTGCCCGCAACCAAGGTACATGCCCTTGACCGGAATCGAACCCGGGACTCTTCAGTCCCCAAGCCGACGCTCTATCCATTGAGCCAAACCGGTCCCGGCTTTTTTGTTTTGTTTTGTTTTTAAATATATTTTATTGATTTTATACAGAGAGGAAGGGAGGTAGAAACATCGATGAGAGAGAGTCATCGATCAGCACATATGCACTCTTATTTTTCAGATGGATTCATGATTTAACTTAAGTAGATTTGTCCTCATTCTAGGCAGTGAAGTCATAGGTTTGGTGTGTTTGGTATAATAAACTACATATTAAAAATAAATTAATAATTATTAAAATATCTTATATTCAGGTAAAAGCACCATTCACATTAATGGAATGGGAACCACACTTTGGACAACCATTGATTGACAGATAAATAGTATGGGTAAATTTTGGTGATTTGATTTCTGAATGCTTTTTAGCACTTTTTTTTCTATTGGCAAATATATATTTTCATTTGTTGTGTAAGGGACAACAGAAAAGAATTATATAGCCTGTATCGCCAATATTCTAAATTCACTTTTGGTTAAAGAAGAATAGACAAGCAGTTTTATGACATGTTTAAAGTGTATTTGGGAAAATACAACCTTTGTAAGAGTAAAGTCTGTACAGTATTTAAAAAATATTTTTATTGATTTCAGAGAGGAAGCAGAAGAGAGAAATATCAGTGATGAGAGAGAATCATCAATTGGCTGCCTTCTGCACACCCCACACTGGGATCGAGCCCACAACCTTGGTATGTGCCCTGATTGGGAATTGAACCGAGACCTTCTGGTTCATAGGTTGAGGCTCAACCACTGAGCTGTGCCTGCTGGGCTCTACAGTATTTTATATTATTAGTTTTAGGCTGTTATTAAAAGAAGTTCTAACGTGGTTTCTGAAAGTGATTCTCAAGGATTTTCTATTTTATCTATTTGGAGTAAATAGTACATTCAAATGATATGATCTCAGATGACAAAAAAGGATACCAAGTAAAACCTCTCCGCTTCTTATTCATTGACCACTTCATTGGCTATCTCACAAAGATGCTTATTTCCAGAAAAAAATTTAGGAGAGTTCAGGTAAATAATAATTTGTCATTATTTTTACTTTGAGGCACTGGACATGTAATCCTACTTACTGTGATTTAGGCTTAGTATTATCTCAATTTGCACGTTGGTAGAGACAGTTTTATTTGTGGGAACTTTCTAAAATTTCTTTTTGTGTGATGTGTGATCTGACTCCTGGTAGTAAAACTCTTAAACCACGATCTTCGATCTTTATTTATTTTTTTGATGAATCAAAGAGAATTTAGTTACTATTTGCAGAAGTACTGTTTCTTTTTTCTTTTTCTTTGTTTCAAGTAATTTGAGGGCGGCAAATGAGTAGGCAAGTAGGCAATTAAGCACGAAAGAAAAAACAAGTTATGGTGGTCACATTTTATTTCTGTGATTGGTATAAAAGATACTGTTAAGAATAATGGCCAAGTTTTAAATTGAGTAAATAAACTTTGATATCTAGTTTAACATCTAATCTGGAAAGTAGCAAAAAAGTAGGCCAGCAGAGTTTGGGTGGATAACAGTAGCCATTGTTCAAATACTCTTAAGAGGAGAATAGACTAGTAACCAAACTACTTGAGCTATTTTAGATGGTCAGAATAGGTCATTGTTGGTGCTTCTAGTGGGTTTAGAAGCAGATTTAACTTTGTCAGCCATTCTTTTCCAGGTTCATTTAGGAGGTAATTCTTTGTTATTAGGCACCTTACTCATTCACACTAGTATGTTACCCATGATTCATTTGGTTGCAGAGGGCAGAATCGTTTAAATTAAAATGTAATTTGTTGACTCATAACTAGGCAGAAGTTAAGCCAGGCTGGCTTCAGGGGCACAAAGGATGTCGTAAAGACAGGACTTCTGTTCTCTGCCTCTCAGCTGTGCTGTCTGTGGTGGTTTTTTTCTCAAAGGAGCTTTCTCCATGTGGAGGTTAAGATGTGCAGTATAGCTCATGTCGCCCTTACTGCTGGGGTCCCCAAAGACAGGAATGTGTCTTTTGTCTGCATTTCCAACAAAATCACCAGGAAATATCCTTCTGGTCTTGTTTGGGTCATATAAGCCTCTCCCTGAATCAGCAACTGGGGGCAGGGCACGGAGTCCGCTGGCCTTCTTGGTCTGTGCTTGCTTACCATGTGTGTCAGTAGATGTATGAGCATGTGGTCCATTGTGGATCAACTAGAGGACAGAGTTCTAGAAAGAACAACTTGCACCCAAGACAAAAGGGATAAAAGGGATAGGTGTCTATTATAGATATATACAGGGATGGGCAAAAGTAGGTTCATAGTTACTTGTATGGAAAATAATAACAATAAACTTGCAAGTACTCACACCTGTAAACCTACTTTTGCCCATTCTTCTGTTATCGTTGTTACATCATATAAGTTACATTAGGGGTGTCGAACTCAATCGGAGAAGGGGCCAAAATCTAAAATCCAGCCTAAATCGCGGGCCGAATGGTTTACTGAACAGTCATAAACTGTCATTGTGATGGAAACGCAGCGGAGTGCAGTGATGACAGCGCGGTGCGGGCCACATTGCAAGGCCTGACGGGACGGATTTGGCCCGCGGGCCTTGTGTTTGACACATGTGAGTTACATCAATGGCAGTTACATCAAACATCTTTGAGATCTAATCTTGAGTAGCCCAACCTTTATTTCTCAGTTTTTGCCTTGCTTCCTCACGATAATGTGTGTATAATTCAAATACTGGGTTGTTAGTATGGCAATTTGTAGACTAGAGAAAACAATTGATTCATATTACCTTTGGGAACTTATTTGCCATCACTGCAATATTTGACATGATAAAATTATTTTCCTAAGGTTATCTTATCTTTTAAGTAGTTTATAATTTCAGATGATAACAGGGAAAAACTTGCCAGCACTGCTGTGATAGTATCACACTACAGCTAATAGACAAATTTCCATTGTTGTCATGTTTTATTCTGTTATTAAGGTGGTGAAAATGGTGTTATAGCAAACTATTCACTTGGGCATTAAAGCTGACTTGTTTTTATTTGGTGTCCTGCCTATTCATCTTTAAAATATTTGAAAATCACCCCAAAAAGGCAGTTTAGGGGAGAGTTGTGGAGGGCCCTGGCTGTGAGGTGTGTATTTGTACTCCTTTAACTCCCAGAAGTTGGTAGATACCAGGAGATGATCTCTAACTGGGCATTTCTTAGAAAGCTCCAATAATTTTGGAGAGTGGTGGAAACTCTGGCCTTCCCTTAGATTAGGTGCTAGCTTGATGCCTCAAGAATAGGGACTAGAGCCTCCCGCAGGACTTGAAGCTTTTAGAAATATGCTTTCACCTTATTTGGGCTTGGTGATTGCTTAGCTGAACTCGCAATGATTCTTTGGGAACATTGTTTGGAGCCTTTCTTCACTTAAAATTAAGGCCGGAATAGTAATTTCTTTTTATACCGGAGCACTGTGTATTTGGTAAGTTTGCAATATTTGTCGAACTCATATAGATTTACTGTCTTACTGATATTTAAAGACATTTGGGTGGAGATAAGGAGAGACTTATTATTATTTTTTTTCTATGTGGGAGATACTTATTTTTAAGAAAAAAAAAAGGCCTAGTCCTCCAGGAGGCCAATTATGGAGATAGATGAGCCTGCACTTGGTGGAGTAAAACACATTTTTGCCCTTGAGCTCAGCAGATATGAGTTTGAATCCTTGCTCTGCCATTTACTGGTTCTGTAATCTTTTTGTTATTGTTAATCCTCACTAGAGGATAGTTTGTCTATTGCTTTTCAGAGAAAGTGGAAGGGAGGGAGGGAGAGAGAAAAACGTTGATATGAAAGAGACACATGGACTGGTTGCCTTCTGAACATACCCCAATGGGGCGGAGAATGAACCCACAACCCAGGTACATGCCCTTGACTGGGAATCAAACCAGAGACCTTTTGGTGATTTTTTTTGGGGGGTGGGCGGGGGCGTGGTGGCGGGCACTCTAACCATTGAGCAACACTGGCCAAGGCTGATTGTACAATTTTGACTAGCCTGTTTCCTTTTCAGTAAACTAATAATTTATATCACAGAGTTGTGGGAATAAAATAGATAATAGTTGTGAACTGGCTTTGAAATCTGTAAGGCAAAGTATATTTGTTATTTTGAAGATCTGTGCCTTTAATCAGTGTTAAGCACTGTTTTGAGATGCTTTGACTCTTTAAATGTATTTATTACTGGTGTATATTAAATACCATTCTGTGACCAGGGATCTGTCTGCTTATAAGGATACTCAAAGCGTGTAAGAAACAGAATCTTCAAGAAACTTTAGTGGCATAACGAGATCAGACTTTTACATTTGAGCGGGTCAGAAACCAAGACCATGGCTCAATATATAGCAGTGCTTCTGGTTGGTACAAATATTAGCAGTTCAGAGAAATGGGAAGAGAAGAAACCTTTGGAAAGAACTGCTTGGGGAGGAGGGGTATTTAAGAGAACTTGAGAGCATCTGGTCAAATAGTAGTTAATCACCAATTATATTTGGAACTAAGCTGTCTTTTGAGAGTTACAGAGGACAAGCAGTCATTCTCAAGCTCTAGTTAGTGATGAGACTGGCATGGTTTTAACAAACACAAATATGCAGGACCATATACAGACAGTTCCCAACTTATAGTGGTTTGACTTACGATTTTCTGACTTTACGATGGTGTAAGATGATATGCATTCAATAGAAACCATACTTTAAGTTTTAAATTTTGATCTTCTCTGGGCTGGTGATACATGGTATGATACATGATACTGGACAACGGCAGCAAGCCCCAACTTCCCTCAGCCAGGCCAGCACTAGGGTAAACACTGATGTGAGTCTTCGGAGCATGTTTTAAGGTAGACTAGGCTAAAGCTATGATGCTTAGTAGGGTAGATGTATTAAATGAATTTTCAACTTACAATATTTTCAACTTAATAACCCCAATGTAAATCAAGGAGCTTCTGTATATAGGCTAGGTTCTGATTGAGTGGTATAGACAAGTGGGGGTAAGATTTGAACCAAGACTCTTCTAATGTGTGGGATGTTTCAGTCAGGGACTGAATGTGGGTAGCAGGAAGATAAGAGGGGGTGCCAGGAAAAGTAGTCCTTACAAAGGTGCAGAGGAGTGGGAGGACAAGAGGCATTCTGGAAACAGTGGAGGACCAGGCTGAGGAGAAATGAGGTAAAAGCATGACGATTAGGTTGGAATAGGTTTTATATAGTCATGGATACCAGGGGGAGTAGTAGACTAGGGGAAAGAATTGAATGACTTGGGTTGGGAGGGGCTTTTTGAACAGGGAAAGGCATTATCAGAGAGCAATTGTCAGCAGCATTGAAGTTGGTTGCAGTGGGGAGTGAGGTTTGGCAAGACTAGTTAAGATTAAAGATCTGATAAAATAGGGACCTGTCTATGAGTGGTAAAGATATGAAGGGAACTCATGCATAGAATTCTTGAAGAAAGAAATTTCCAGTACTTGGTACATGGAATGGAGGGAGTCTGGCAGAGTGTGATAGAGGGGCTGGAAAAATCAAAGGTTGGTCTGAGGTATGTTTTTTTTTAATATGATTTTTTATTCATTTTTAGAGAGAAAGAGAGAGAGTGGTAGAAACATCAGTGATAGAGAGAATCATTGATCTGCTACCTCCTGCAGGCCCCATACTGGGAATTGAGTCGAAATCTGTGCATGTGTCCTGCCTTGGAATCAACTGTGACCTCCTGATTCATGGGTTGAAGCTCAACCACTAAGCAACACTGGCTAGGCTAATCTATGGTTTTGAGCCTGAGTGGCAGGTGAAACCAGGAAGAAAAAAGGAATTTTAGGAGAGGGGAAGGTAGAAAGTTGAGTTTGGTTTTTAAATATGAAAGCCCCATTTAAATGCTAAAGTAATCCTTATGGGGTTCAGCCATTTATTTCAAAGATAAAAAGAGATGCCTAGAAATAATTCTCTACATTTTGAAATTGAAGGGAGTGAGTATGTGCTTTAAAGTCGGACTATCTAGCATTTAAAAATTTGCACGTACATCCTCTTTTTCATCTTTTTCCAGTTCTTGTCTCCTAGTCTTCCCCCCTCCCCTCCCATATATATATATATATATATATATATATATATATATATATATATATATATATATATATTGTATATTATTGATTTCAGAAGGAAGGGAAAGGGAGAGAGAGATTGAGCCTGTAACCCAGGCATGGCTCCTTGACGAATTGAACCTGGGACCTTTACCAGCCAGGGCCTAGTCTCCTTTTTGAAGCCTCATTTTCTTTCTTTTCTTTTTTATAGTACTCTCATCTTTATTGTTTTAAAAATTTCTTTATTGATTAAGGTATTACATATGTGCCCTTATTCCCCCATTGCCCCCCCTTTCCCACTCACCCCCTGATGTCTGTGTCCATCGGTTAGGCTTATATGCATGCATACAAGTCCTTTGGTTGACCTTTCCTCCTTCCCCCCCACCCTCCCCTGCCTTCTTTCTCAGGTTTGACAGACTGATTGATGCTTCTCTGTCTCTGGATCTGTTTTTGTTCATCACTTTATGTTGTTCGGTACCTTTTCCTTCTTATTCCAGTCAATCTGGTCTAGCTCTCTGCTTCAGGAGCACTATTAGTCTGTACCATGTAATTTAGCTCTTAAATATAAACTCCCTCCCCACCCCGCCTCCATGCTTGGTTTTGCACCACACTAGTCTGTGATTTGGTGCAGTGGATCACAAAACCTATTAAAATCTACTTTCTGTTCTGTCAGGAGTTGACTGACAGATTCCCTAGCTATTAATATACTGAGAAAAGTTTGTTTTGTTTTCAGTGTGTACTGCCTGTAGAAGAACAAGGAGCATGTTCTATTTATGCCTTTTCCTTCCCCCTCTAAGTCTCTTTTGAGCAGCTACTGTGTCCTAGGTGCTGAGATAGCTCATGAGAAGCATAAAACTTTAATAGGCCACAGTTTAGTTTGCTACTCACAGTATGAAATGGTCTTGTTTTTGTATTTTATTACTTTGCAAGTATATCCATGCTCACCTTATCAACAGTTTTTTTAGACTCTTAGACTCTTATCTTGGTCTCCTTATACTTCCATCCTAAATTTCTTAATCTGTCTAGAACTCAGTCTGTACCCTGAACACTGTTGACACATGCATTCAGTGCTCAGTGAATGTTCATTCCATCTAAATGTCATGGCTCTCCATTTTGACTTTAGTGAGTTTTTTTTCTTTTCTTACTGTGTTGACTTTGGTTTCATTTTGTTTGTTTTAAGGCATAAATTTTTTTTATAAGAATGTGGTAAGGTAGAAAAATTTTTCCCTTGTTGCCTTTTTAGTGATGCCTAATCCTTTGTCTTTTTCTATTTTATTTTATTTTTTTAAAGGAACTAACGTAGAATGGTCTCGAGTGTATTTTTTCCTCTGTAAGATCTAAGTTTTCTTTTAGGTACAGTTAGGATTATGTTTACTAAATGAGATTCTTTGTATTTATCTACATCAAGAGTGTATACCATTTTGCTTTTCATTTAATGCTAGATGTAAGCTCTCTGATCCAATTTATGAAAGTGGAATTAACTTTTTTTTAAAGGGGGTTTAACTTAATAACTCAAAAAAGCTGAAATGTAATATATGTAATATTTATAAACTTGTATATTAAAATTGTTTCCTGCTTCCAGGATATTCTTACCAATGATAAATCAGGTATTAGTGATTTCTGGGGTATCCTTGCTATCTATTTATACCAAAATATTCTAGTCCTAGGTAGGAGGGTTCACTTTGGAGACCTGAATAATTATCCTTATAGCAATACCTTTCTGTGCCGTGCCTCCCATTTTTTATAGAGGGTTCTCAGTTATAGTTGGTCTCATCTCATTTGTTTGACTTTTAGGTAGCATGTACTTCTTGGTGTAATTGAACTCATAAATTGCCTTTTATAGACCAAATTAAAATGTATGATTATCTGCCACTGCGCAGACATATCAAGCTACAGCATTGTAGTGCTGCCTATCAACCAGCTGTTCCGTTTTAGCAACACTGTCTTTAACAGTGTGTGTACAATTATTTGAGGTCCCCCACCCATATAATAAAAACAAGTATCAAACAAAATTGAAAATGCACATAGTAAGCATGAGAAACATAGTTTTCAGTTGTAATGATATATTTTTCCTGGTTGTATTAGATGGCCTAAAATGACGAGTAAATCTTGTTACATGGTTGGACATATGATTATCTTAAACTATGTGATCAGTAATGTAGGAAAATAATTGAACTCTCAGATATATATACATATATGTCTGTGTGTGTATGTATGTGTGTGCATGTCTATATACACACACATAAAAAATGCTAAACTGTATTGAATATTATTTACAAAACTACTGTATAACTAGGAATTTTAGGATTTTTCACTTTGTGAGACCCACACACCCCTTATGCTCTGCCTTCCTACATTATGGCTTGGAATACCCTTTTATAGGTATACATTATGTATTAAGGTTGAGGTGAATTTCATTTCTTTAAACCTTAGGATAATTTTATCTTATAATCAAGGAAATGGCTCAAAACACAAGCCTGTAAATTCTCATTCCAAGTTTAA